TTTTATTATCATTTGGGTGGTAGACGTCGCACCAACGGGAGCACAGGTGATGTCTTTTACCCAAAAAAAAATTACACATTAATATCAATCTTTTACATATGTCCAAAAATCAAGATTCAATATTGATATTGTAAGGTTTTCACACACTCATCCATCAGTTTGTAAGAAAGGAAAATAAGAATTTAACTACAATCAGATAAAAGCTTGTTCTCTGTCAATAAAGATAAATGTTTTTTCTCATTATATTGGTTATATGTGTTGGAACTTATTGAGCATAAAAAAGCTTTTTTGCCCATATGTAAACATGGGGAAAAGGAGAAAACAGAGGACTAGGTAGTGGAAAGTTTCTGAAATTTGATTTTATGAGCCATTTACAGAAGAATAGAGAGGCATTTTGCCATTTGCGGCCTCATAACTTGCATGTGTGTGTGGGAGGGGGGAAGGGGTTATCTTATTGATCAAATAAATGATTATTTTCTGCAAGAGCATCAGTTTGTACCAAAAACCCCTACCTAATATGTTCTTAATCTTTTTACCTTTTTCTTACGTTCTTATAATATAATTGTCATGTCTACAAACTGAACCGGGAAGTCAGGCCGAACAACTACCACTTTGGTTACAATTGTCAATGATGTATCTGTGCAACTAGAAAAGAAATTATGATCCATTTTGGTTATCGAAACATCCTGAGTACAAATTTCCTTACTGTTTCTCTTACTAAAATCATATCAAGAGGGTTAAATCTTTGATTCTAAAATCCAATTTAGTTGACTTCAGGTGCAAAAGATTAATATATTGATTGTTGACATTGGTGTGATATATAGATATGTTTCACAAAATCAACATAAGTATCTCTATTTAGCATTAGCTCCAACATGTAACACGGAATAAGATATCACTACAAAACACAACATAAAAAGTACGTTACTATTTTCTCTATTGCAGTTGCATGGGGCCTAATTCTCGAGTTTTTGTTATAAACAATCAGAATGAGGCTGAATATTATCATATATATACAAAGAAGGTTGCTATTTTCTACATTACTTTAAGCTACAGTTCATTGGCTATGTTAAGTTGCTTAAAGGTTTTGACACTGATATTTGCAGGAACCAATCCTGGTTACAGAACTTGTAAAATTGTTACGGAAATTGCTACTGTTATGCAAGAATTTACCCGGTCGAGGTAAGTAGATTTTTGTAAACTGTCCTAAAACTTCCATTACTTAACAAAAAAAAATTCATATGTTACTGATTTAACAAAATTGATTTAAATACTTAATTCAGTCTGATATATTTGCATTTTTCTTGTAGTGTTGTAAGACCTTTTGATGTTCACTCCTTATTGCTGAATTTGATGACAAAAATAACCTTTTTAAAGTGCTAATCTATAGATATACAATTTTTTTTACCATTGGATTTAGAATGATCAACATATTATTACATCACTAAAAAAATAAATAGATATATCATGCAAGTAGATCCCCCATGTTTATACTTTCCCTCTGTGTCTCTATCTAAAACTCGCCACTGTCACAATGATTGCAAGTTGGTTTGGAATGAAAACCCAAATTGATTGGAGTTTGGTTTATGTATAGTTGGGTTTCAAGAGGTCAATCAGTTATGTATTCTCAGGTTAACAAAAAAGATTCATAATTATGCAACTTATAATTTTTTACAGAGCATTTAAGAATTTTTGTTAACAGAAAAGGGGACATTATGTCATTTTTTGAACTCTGCATCCATCAATGGAGGCTGCATTTCTGGGTCTTCAATATTTTATCACATGATGGTGGAGGTGTTGTTAATTTTTCAATGTGTGCTTATTGTTGACTATTTGACTGTTTGTGAAATGTCTAAATTACCCTTTGATTTGTAGGTGGATTGTTGAGGTGGCTCATGTGGGGAGATTTTGATTCAATTAGTGGTGTTGTGAAAAGGTGTGGAGGGTTTTGAGTCAATTATTGATCTTGATCTTGTGAAAAAATCATATTATGAACAAACGGCTCTTGATTTTGCTACGAAATTAAGAATCTTATGAAGAAAAGAATAAATTTCAACGATGTTGACATCATTACTATAGCCCAGTGTAAATTAGAGTATTGTAATAAAAATTCTGAAATTTAAGTACATGTTTTAGTTTGATGGCAGATAATACACGTGTTTTAAATAATTTTAGTACCATCACCTATTTGCAAATTGTTGCGAAATTTGTTTGAGAGGTGCCAATTGCTTTTTTTAGGTGTCAATTGTTTTTTTTTCAATAAAACACTTGATGAAGCATATAATGTTAAATTTAATTATTATTTGGATTTTTTTTGTATAGTAGTATAATTATTATTTGTGGCTTCATTTTAAATAGGTTTATAATTATTCATTAAAAATGTATTTTAACATGTCAAATGTTAAAGTAATACCATGTTTAAAAGATGTTAAAATTATACAAATAATATTATCACAATCATAAGTAAGTATCTATTTATAT